TTCCTCATCCTCATCCTCTTCTTCTTCTTCATCATCATCATCCTCATCCTCATCTTCTTCTTCTTCTTCTTCTTCTTCTTCTTCTTCATCTTCTTCTTCATCATCATCATCATCCTCTTCTTCTTCTTCTTCTTCCTCATCCTCTTCTTCTTCTTTTTCTTCATCCTCATCCTCTTCTTCTTCTTCTTCTTCTTCATCCTCATCGTCATCCTCTTCTTCTTCTTCTTCTTCTTCTTCTTCATCCTCATCTTCTTCTTCTTCGTCCTCTTCTTCTTCTTCTTCTTCTTCTTCTTCATCCTCATCCTCTTCTTCTTCTTCTTCCTCATCCTCTTCTTCTTCTTCATCCTCATCCTCATCCTCTTCTTCTTCTTCTTCTTCTTCATCCTCATCTTCTTCTTCTTCTTCTTCATCCTCATCTCTCTTCTTCTTCTTCTTCATCCTCATCCTCATCCTTTTCTTCTTCTTCTTCATCCTCATCTTCTTCTTCTTCATCCTCATCCTCTTCTTCTTCTTCTTCTTCTTCTTCATCATCCTCATCCTCATTCTCATCCTCTTCTCTTCTTCTTCATCCTCATCTTCTTCTTCTTCTTCTTCTTCATCCTCATCCTCTTCTTCTTCTTCATCCTCATCCTCCTCTTCTTCTTCTTCTTCATCCTCATCTCTCTTCTTCTTCTTCTTCTTCTTCTTCCTCATCCTCATCCTCTTCTTCTTCATCTTCATCCTCTTCTTCTTCTTCTCTTCTTCTTCTTCTTCATCCTCATCCTCATCTTCTTCATTCTCTTCTTCTTCTTCTTCTTCTTCATCCTCATCCTCTTCTTCTTCAATTGAAGCTGCTTCTGCTCCGCCACTCTGCCATTGGACTCTTGATAGTCGTCTCCCCACACTGCTGCTGGGGGGACTTTTTAACATAGGCCTCTTTATGGCCTTCAATTTAAGCTGCTTATGCTTCGCCACTCTGCCATGGGTCCCTGTACCGCCTCCTCATGCTGCTGCCAGGTCCAGAGTGTGTCATGGGTCCCTGTACGGCCTCCCATTGCTGCTGTCTCCATCGCCACACTCTGCCATGTGCCACTTTCAGGTCTCCTCACACTGCTGGTGGGTTCCATTTTGTCATAGGGTGCTGTATGGCCTCCCATTGCTGCTGCCTCCACCGCCACACTGTGGCTCCACACTCTGGTTTTGGCCCCCGTGACTGCCCAAATGAGTGAAGTGTGCGGTGATTCTAAGATCGACGGCACTCATCTGCATGTCATACTGACTGACAGTATTATTTCTCTTCCCCAGAAGACTCCAAGGGCATTTAAATTAAAGGTACAGTGTTCTGCACTAATATAAAGGCTCTCTGAAGCCTAGAAACCCTTTTAATAAGTTAAATTTGCAGCGAATAATTTCGCATTGAATCGAATTTATTCCGCAAATTCGGCGAATCAGCCGAATCGAATTTTTGAATAATTCGCTCATCTCTAATCATAGCAATACTACATGTGCGTATATTAGTTGTTGTTTGTACTCGTAGTACAACTCAGAAACAAGAGTGTGCATTTTAATTTGCTTTGCTTGACACTGATACTAATTTAAAAAAAACCCTGACCAAAAAAAAACAAAACTGACCCTAAACTTTGATCCTGACCTTTGACCCAAAAACTAACCCTGGCACAGACCTATATCAAACCTTGATCTAGTTATTTTTGTTTATTATTTTATTATTATTTTTATTTATTTATTACACACACTTGTTTTTCTTTTCTCTTTGAAAGGACAGAGAGACATACACTCTATCATTCTCCTCCATTGAGAGAGAGAAAACAAGAAGGGTGGGATTCACAGTGAGAGACCACTGTTATAGCCTCTCCTTGGCTATAACAGTGGTCTGTCACTGTAATAGCCCCTGTTCGGCTATAACAGTGACAGACCACTGTTATAGCCGAGCAGAGGCTATTACAGTGATCAGGTGACCTGGAATCGGGATTTCCGGGTCCCGATCATTAGAACGGGACCCAGGGCTCTCAGTGACACCCCGATCTTTGTGCTGAGAGTACGCCATGCGGCATGCTCCTGGCAGAAAGACAGGTACGCAAATTAGCTGCCCCATGGAAAAAAGCCCAGTTCTGGGAGGCCGCTAATGTGAGTGCGGTTGGCAGCATGGGGTTAAGATCAACAGCAAATCCTACTTGCAGGCTTTCTATCTCTCCTGGGCTGCTGTTAAAATTCTTCCTCATGTAAACCACAGATTGATTAAGATAAGAAACAACCCAAGCTAGCTAATAGCTCTGTATGTGGCTGTGGGAAGCAGATTTGGCAGTAACTGTTGGAGCACCTTGATGTGACTTTGATTTTATGCCCTTATCTTAGGAGTTGTTTTATCTAATAAAATAGTCTATCATAACAGAATTACACTATTGGGTCATTTCTTTCTTTCAGTGGTACATGTTTCACATGAAGAGGAATCTGAATAGCAGTCTACTAGAGATACCTTGTCAGGAGGATTTGCTGTTGCTCTTATTCTTGACATGCCATTCTCTAAAAGGGGAGGCACATAGATTTGGTGAATCTCTGCCTGAAAGGTGGAGGTCACAGGAAATGTACTGAGCACTTGTGTAAATGATTTAGGTCTCTTTCACCTGGACGTCATCCTTTCAGTAACAATTTTTCAGAGAAAAAAACTGATTCAGTTTACATCAGTTTGATTATCCGTCTTCAGTTCAGTTCACTTCAGTTTACATCGGTTTGTCCTTCAGTTCAGTTCAGCTTATATTAGTTCAATTCAGTTCAATTTACATTGGTTTATATCAGTTCAGTTCCTTTCAGTGTACATCATTCTACATCCGTTCCGTTCTGTTTCAGTGGATGTGGACATTGGCTGTTCCATTTAAAACAAAAACAGACCTGAACTGGCATGGATGTAAACTGATTATCATCCATTTACATCCGCCCACCCATAGACATAAATTGTGGTTTAGTCTGGATCCGTCTGAAAACAGATGCATCTAGACTGAATGCCCATGTGAAAGGAGCCTTTTTCACAAGAGGAAACTGAACATTGCACTTTTTAAAGATTGATGAACTTTCAATACATTGCAGATTAGGGATTATTATTATTTATGGTACTTACAGAGCACCATCAATTTATGCAGCACTTCTCATAAAGTACGTATTATACTTTCACATCAATTCCTGCCCTCATGGAGCTTACAATCTAAGGTTCCTTTATTGTCATAAACCTTCTTAGTGTCCATACAATTATTGCATAAAAACCCAAAAATAAAGTCCATAAATCTTTTCTTCCAATTTAAAACTCGCCATATAAATCCAGTAAGTGCTGTGTACCTCAAAATAAAAGAAAACTCAGTAGTGTATTATCCTCACAAAACAAATTTATCAATAATCCCAAAATGAGTTATGCCAAAAATGTCTTTATAAATTTCATGCAAAGCGCATAAATCGTGAAAATACATGGTGAACCGTGAAAACACGTGATAGTGAACCACTCTTTGTATTAATACTATACACAGTATAGTACTTAGTGAACACTCAGTGTACACATCTAATGTGGCTGAATTGCATACCCTTAGCCAAATAAGTAATAAACCAGCCTTTATAAATAAATCCAAGGGAGGGTACGGATACTGATCTACTGGAACCTCATGGGTACCTTTTGATACCCCAATGCTCTTTCAGTACTCTTGCCTCCTTAGTACTCCAAAACCATTCATAGAGAGAAAAACAGATTCAAATAGTACAGTGTACAGTATGTGTGAGATAAATAACTCCACATTTTAATAAATATGCTTACATAAAAATGGCAATAAATAGCATAAGAGATCCCATGACTCCACCATAAAGTAGCTTCCAGGAACGCCAAAGAATATTGTTGAATATTGAATGAGTTGAATGTGCCTGGGTTTGTTAGGGAAGGATTGCCTAACTGTACTGAAGTTCCAAATGTTAATTCAAACCCTACTGAAATCAATGGAAGCTGAATCAGTTCTGATAATTTTAGGGCAGGGGAGTTTCAAACAAATGGCATTGGGACTAGGCACTGCCCCAGGGTAACATGTACTAATGTTTAGAGTTAACCATAAACAATGTCCTTAGAATTACTGGTCCCACTCCAGTGCGTCAATATGTAACATATGCAGCAGAATGGAAATTTTTTCTGTGATAGGTATTCACCCTATGTATCTACTGAAGCTAATAGAGGGCAGCTTACATTCCATTAGCTTCTTACCCAGTGACCACAGAACTCATGAAATAATGCATGTTGCTTCCATGGTCATTCCATCTAGGAGAGATCAGTGAACAGATATTCACTGGTCTCCCTCCCCTCTACTCAGCAGCACCAGCAAAATGAGTCACAGGCCACAGATGCGACAGCAGAGAATGGGAAAAATGGCAGCAAGGTCTTTCCAGGGGCACACTGCTGGGGGTCCATGGAAGTTATCTATTGGCTGTGCAGCCACCAGATCACTTCCACCTGACAGCTTGTCACATATATATACACTTGTATGAAAATCCCCTGCTGCTGTATGACATAATAAAAAGCATGCTTGGGGGATTCCCTAAACCTACTTGTAAAGTGGTAAACATGTACTTTGTGCACAATTTACCATTAATATACCTTTTAAATTTCAGGTAAATTACATTTTTCTGTCACCTTGGTTTTGTTTGAAAAAAAATATAAACCGAACCCTTAACCTATTCCCTACTGCGGTATAGCCAAAGGACGGGTACAGCGCAGTTGTCTGGTTCTGGGACAACGTCCATGGATGTAATTCCAGAACATGCCCCCTGCATGCCCCCAGCGGTGCACACCTGGTGCCACTGGTGATTTCTGTGTCCTACGGACACATATGATCATGGGATACAGTAAATGGCCAATCACGGGGGCCTTTTACCACGTGAATAGCTGTGGCCACAGCAAATCACCAGTAAATGCAGTTGCCGGTTATCGGCTGCATTTTCCTAATGCTGTCACAGCGTGAGGAAAGTGCTGCCAATAACCAGCAATTGTCAGAGAAGTTATTGGCACTGATCATCGGGGCACTGATGATAAGTGCCCCGATGATCAGTGCCCAGCAGTGCCACCCACCTGTGCCACCCACCTGTGCCCATCAGTGCCACCCACCTGTACCCATCAGTGCTACCCGCCTGTGCCCTGCAGTGCCACCCACCTGTGCCCACCAGTGCCACCCACCTGTGCCCATCAGTGTCCTCCCACCTGTTCCTTGCAGTTCCACCCAACAGTGCCACCCACCTGTGCCTAGCAGTGCCACCCACCTGTACCCAGTAGTGCCACCCATCAGTGCTGCCCATCAGTGCTGCCCAGCAGTGCCACCTATCAGTGCAACATCATCAGTGCCAGCTCATCAGTAATGTCTATCAATGCCACCTATCAATGCCTTCTATCAGTGCCTCCTATCAGTGCCCACCAGTGCTGCCTATCCATGCCACCTCATCCGTGCCCATCAGTGTTGCCTATCAGTGCCCATCAGTGCTGCCTATAAGTGTAGCCTCATCAACGCACATCAGTGAAGGAGAAAAATTACCTGTTTGCAAAATTTTATAATAGAAACAAAGAAATACTTTTTTTCAAATGTTTTGCTCTTTTTTCATTTATAGAGCAAAAAATAACACAACCAGTGGTGATTAAATACCACCAAAAGAAAGCTCTATTTGTGTAAAAAAAAAAGATAACAATTTCATATGGGTACAGTGTCACATGACCGCGCAATTGTCATTCAAAGTGTGACAGCGTTGAAAGCTGAAAATTGGCTAGGCAGGAAAGGGGTATAAGTGCCCAATAGGCAAGTGGTTAAGGGTCTGCATGTATTGTGGGGGAACGTTGGGGTGTTTGTCAGTGATGTCAGTCAACATCCTCACTCCTGGGAACCCCTGACTGACAGCTGAATGGGTGAGGTTGGGTAACTTGCTGGTTGCTAGGAAGCCAGCCTCTTGAATGGGAAGCTATTACATTTATCAGTAGAAGTAATAATGCTGCTAAATACTTCACTTCTTGCTGCAGCCAGAGACTGAGCTCAGAAGTAGGGTTGCTAAAGGTATGGTATGCTTGGTTAAGAAAGGGACAAAAGCTCTGTAGAGAATCTTGAACTGTGACTCTATCCAGGATTCATATGTCTCTAGTTTTTAGGTAATATTATAGTCCTCCAAGATGCTGTCCACAACATCAACTGCCTGAATGTCTTTACTCCAGGATTGCACTGTAGTGTATTAAAATAGTTTCATAAAGAAGGAGTTCAGTGGTCTGTAGATATCAGAAATAGAGTAAAGTTGCTCAGTAAGTAAGCGGTCTAGTAAGGTTGGACTCTTTGTGACTTTTTGGATAAGTTTTACTAATAAAGTGTGAGGATTGTAATACGTGAAGAAAGTGTTGGCTGGGTGGAAGGCATTCTTCAGCCGAGGATGAGAAAGGTCTGAGAGACCCGGTAGCCAAATCATACAAGAATGCAGTACATGTAAGGGACGGTGACAATGGGGATAAACACCTCTTCTTTTGAGTTTCTCTCCAGGCAATAACTGTGGCCCAGATTAGTAGATTATGCTATAGATGACTGAGAATCATTTTAAGTTTGCTGTGAAGGATCAGCTAGATTGTAAGGTTAGACCATGGCTGATTCAAGGTCATAGTTCATATATTTAGAAGCTTGGAGTATTCAATCCAGACCTATGCGTAACAGACAAGATAAATTATATGTTCTAATATTAGGAACATTTGCCCCCCTTCACTCCTTAGGAGATAAAGCTTTTCGGGACTTTTTATTGCACCAGAGAAAAGTGGTGATTGCTTTATTAAGTGTTCTGAGGTCTTTATATGTTTAAAGAGTAAAGATATAATCTGAAGGGGATACAAAAGGTGAGCAAAGCAAACCATCTTGGACAAGGAGCATCTCCCAAAGAGCGATAGAGGAAGGTCCATCCATGCTTCCAATTTACTCACAATTTTCAAGACCAGAGTGGGTAATTGAGGCAGTATAGAGAAGAAGGTCCCCTCCCTATTTTTATTCCTAGATAAGTGATATGTTTATAATTTACAAGAAAGGGGGGGAGAATGCAGCCAAGGAAGAGATTTATTATGACTTTAAGGAAGCACTTTGCTTTTACTGAAATAGATTTTTTAAGCCAGAACAAAGACAGAAGGAATTAAAAATCTGTTGTGTAGTGCCCATATGGGATGAGCGTGCAGAAGAGTAAATTAAGATGTCATCAGCAAAAAGAACTACATGGAGCTCTGCCTGTCCTTTAGGGATCCTATGCAGGGGTGCCTTATTGCTGAGATAATGTCAAAGGGGTTCTATTGCCAGATTGAACAGAAAGGGGCGAAAGGGGGTATCCTTGCCTTGTACCTTTATAGAGCCTAATTGTGTCTGACAGATGACCCACTGCGACTACACTGGCCTAGGGTAAAGAATGCATACTGTTTATGAACTGGAAGAATGAGCCCATAAAACCTAAATGATACATTACTAGGGATCACAATTGGATGCTTACATTATTAAAAGCTTTCTCAGTGTCTAAGGTTATGATGGTCAAATTTTCCAAAGAATGGGACTTCCCATACTCTAACACTGCTAAGACTTTATAAATGCTGGAGGAAGCTGAGCAGCCTTTGGTGGATCAAGGACGGCATAATATTGGCTAGCTGGAATGCCACAATTTCTTAAACAGTCTTGGAATCTACATTTAGAAGGGAGATAGGACTGTAAGATCCAGGTGCAGTCAGGTCTTTACCTTTTTTTGAGATAAATTTTATATGTGCCTCTCTCTCAAATCCTGTTGTAAACCTCTAATATGGTAGTGGAGATCAGATCTATGGTTATTTTATAGAATTTTGAGTGTAGTTGTCTGGACATGGTGCCTTACCATTCCCCAGGTTTTTAATAGTCGTAACTTCCTCCTGAATTAATGGTGAATTTAATATTTTTAAATGCTTTGAATCTACCTTAGGCACAAAGATGGAATCTAACATTTTAGAAGCTTTGGCCTGGTCAACAGGTTCAGGTGCATATAGAGCAGAGTAGTATGTTTTCAAGATTTTATTGATGTCTTTGGGAGTAGAGGAAAGAATGCCTTGAGTATCCTTTAAAGAGGTAATATAAGTCAGGTAATAAGGCCTCTTACATAACCTTCCTAGTAATTTACCTGCTGTATTTCCATGTTTATGGAACTGAAGGTCTACATTAGAAAGTTTAATGAATTCTTGGTTATCCACCCACAAGTGTAATAATCACTTGGCCTCATGCAAGAGTTTTCTATTAGCTTGGGTATTCTGTCGGTTTAAGAGAGTTTGGCCAGCACAAGGTCTTTCACTAGCTGCATGGTATTGTTTTAGGATGTTTTTCTTATAGGAAGACACACAAGAAATGACTTTGGCACACAAGGAAAGCTTTACTAGATTCCCAAAAGAGGTTCAGATTATTCCTGTGAGAGTCATTAGCAGTAGCATATTCTGACCAAGTGTTGGTAAGCATGCATTTAAAAGGTTCATTTTACCCTAGATAGGGTGGAAATTGCCATTGGTGAACAAAAGCAAACAAGGGCGCACTCTCATTGTGCATTACCATGGTACACCACAAAGTTAATCAGAAATCATAAAGATGTATACTCACAAACCAACGAGAATAAAAACAGAGCAAATATATCCGTAATGTCAGTCCGATGGAATAATAGACCCTTATAGGAATAGGCTAACGCGTTTCAGGAGACAGACTCCCTTCATCAGAATATATGTAAAATGTAAACCTGCTGATCCCACATTTATACAACAAAAAATGATGAAGAGGACTAAAATACACTCCCCCACACATATGACGGCCCAATCTGAGAAGAGCCAATCACATTCACCACAAAGAAAAATGCAAAATGGTATATTAATTCTACAAGAATGCATTTTCATTTCTCAGCCGTACATACATACCTAGCAGGTGTACATATAATGATGATCAATACATACATAAAAGTGATACGAGACTCATGTAAAAAATGTATACGAATATGTAAAAAACATATGATTTAAAAACACAATATATAAATGAAATATATATATAACTATATGTAAAGAAGAGAAGAAGAAAACATTTTTTTTATTAAATTGGATAAAATAATGTAAAATAAAGTGGAAGCAGTATATAAAATAATGCATACTGTTATACAGTGTTAATAAACCACCAAGAAGAAACGGGAAGCAGATAAGGAAAAAAAAAAACATTATTAAAAAAAATATTGTATTAAAATGATTAATCATGCAATATATACTGGACCATGATATACTCTGTCCTATACATCTGGCACATTTAATTATCTTTTGTACAATCCTTGTAACAATCATTAACGTCCATCTTACCACATGGCCCTTCCAGACTTCTGGCATGTATCCTAATGTATAAGCAATCTATTCATGCACATCCTGGCACCTCTTGTGAGTAGAGTTTATTCATTCATTTATTTTTATTTATTGTCAATTCATTTCTTATGCATTCTTGTAGAATTAATATACCATTTTGCATTTTGGTTTTTTTTTTGGAGGTGGATGTGATTGGCTCTTCTCAGATTGGGCTGTCATGTGTGTGTGTGTGTGGGGGGGGGGGGGGGGGTTTAGTCCTCTTCACCATTTTTCGGTGTATAAATGTGGGATCAGCAGGTTTACATTTTAGCTCTGATGAAGGGAGTCTGTCTCCTGAAATGCGTTAGCCTATTCCTATAAGGGTCTATTATTCCATTGGACTGACATTACGGATATATCTGCTCTGTTTTTATTCTCATTGGTTTGTGAGTATAAATCTTTGTGATTTCTGATTAAATTTGTGGTGTACCACGGTAATGCATGATGAGAGTGCGCCCTTGTTTGCTTTTTTTCACCGGTATCAAGATTTGCTGATCTTTGAAGGGCTACACATCAACGTCTGACATTCAATATTCCTCCTAGTCTGCATGAAGATTTGAGCTCTGGTTTCATTTGTACTTTTGGAAATTGCCAATGCTTGACAGAAATAAAGTAATATAAAACCACTGAGATTGGGCTGTGGTCTGATATGACTAAATCATTTATAGTGGAGTTTAGAATATTAGGCAACAAGGAGGTGGTGCAAAGTAGGTAGTCCAATCTGGCAAAAGAGTTATGGGAGTGTTAGTAGAAGGTGTACTCTTTATTGATTGTGTGTGATAATGGCCAAGGGTCAATACATTGAGGGGCAAAGGACATCTGAGAACAAGGTGTAGAATGGCCTGGGGCAGTGTGTGAATCTTTTGCTTGCTGCACCGATATATCTTTGCTGTTACACATAGCCATATTAAAGTCTCCCTCTACTAGGTGTGGAATCTGAGTTGTA